AACCCTCCTATAAAATAGTTTTATATTTTAAGTGTACTTCAAAATAATCCTTTACCATGAAAGCAAAAGTACATTACCATCATTGAGGCAAATATGAATTAATGAATATTCTTTCACAGTTATGTTTCTGGAGCCTTGTTCAGTGCCTGGCACATAATGGAAGATCCATAAATACCTTTGTTATCGTTACATGCAAAGGCATAATGGTGTGTATATGAATACATGTATGTATTTGTATCACAACTATTTAAGCAAGTTGATTTAAATACATCATTATTGTTACTTGCAAAGACAATTTTATACAATACGTATATGTATCACATTTAAATTATATCAGAATTTAGGTTGTCTAATTTATTTTTTCAGTAGTGAGGTTTTTTTTTTTAATAGAAGTATAGTTGAGGGCTTCCCTGGTGGCGCAGTGGTTGAGAGTCCGCCTGCCAATGCAGGGGACACGGGTTCGTGCCCCGGTCCGGGAAGATCCCACATGCCGCAGAGCGGCTGGGCCCGTGAGCCATGGCCGCTGGGCCTGCGCGTCTGGAGCCTGTGCTCCGCAACGGGAGAGGCTACAACAGTGAGAGGCCTGCGTACCACAAAAAAAAAAAAAAAAAAAGAAGTATAGTTGATTTACAATGTTCCATTAGTTTCAGGAGTACAGCAAAGCAATTCAGTTACACATATGCACATATATTCATTCTTTTTCAGGCTTTTTTCCATTATAGGTTATTAGAGAATACTGAGTATAGTTCCCTGTGCTCTACAGTAAGTCCTTGTTTATGTATTTTATGTATAGTAGTGAGTCTCTATTAATCTCATACTCCTAATTTTTCACTCCACCCTTTCCCATTTGATAACCATAAGTTTGTTTTCTATGTCTGTGTGTCTATTTCTGTTTTGTATAATTTCATTTGTATAATTTTTTTAGATTCCACATATAAGTGATATCGTATGATATTTGGTTTGCTTCACTCAGTATGGTAATCTCTAGGTTAGCTAATTTAAATATATGTCCTTGTTACACGCAGAAGTATAGTTGCAGTTATAAGTATCTATACGCAATTATACCTTTGCATGTAACAAGAATATGTTTATATATATATATGTATGCATTTATGTATATACACATATGTGTATCACCTTTTTTTTTATTGGAGTATAATTGCTTTACAATGTTGTGTTAGTTTCTGCTGTACAATGAAGTGAATCAGCTCTATGTATACATACATCCCCTCCCTCTTGGACCTCCCACCCCACCCCCATCCCACCCATCTAGGTCACCACAGAGCACCGAGCTCAGCTCCCTGTGCTATATAGCACGTTCCCAGTAGCTACCTGTTTTACACATGGTAGTGTATTTATGTCAAACCTATTCTCCCAATTCATCCCACCCTCCCCTGCCCCCCATCCCCCTGCCATGCCCACATGTCTGTTCTCTATGTCTGTGTCTCTATTCCTGCCCTGGAGATAGGTTAGTCTGCACTGTTTTTCTAGATTCCACATATATGTATTAATATATTATATTTGTTTTTCTCTTTCTGACTGACTTCACTCTGTATGATATGACAGTCTCTAGGTCCATCCACATCTCTACAAATGACCCAGTTTCGTTCCTTTTTATGGCTGAGTAAGATTCCATTCTATATATGTACCACATCTTCTTTATCCATTCCTCTGTCGATGGGCATTTAGGTTTCTTCCATGACCTGGCTACTGTAAATAGTGCTGCAGTGAACATTGGGGTGCATGTGTCTTTTTGAATTATGGTTTTCTCAGGGTATATGCTCAGTAGTGGGATTGCTGGGTCAGATGGTAGTTCTATTTTTAAAGTTTTTTAAGGGACCTCCATACTGTTCTCCATAGTGGCTGCACCAGTCTACATTCCCACCAACAGTATAAGAGGATTCTCTTTTCTCCACACCCTCTCCAGCACTTATTGTTTCTAGATTTTTAGATAATGGCCATTCTGACCAATGTGATGTGATACCTCATTGTAGTTTTGATTTGCATTTCTCTAATAATTAGCGATGTTGAGCGTCTTTTCATGTGCCTCTTGGCCATCTGTATGTCTTCTCTGGAGAAATGTCTATTTAGGTCTTCTGCCCGATTTTTGCTTGGATTGTCTGTTTTGATATTGAGCTGCCTGAGTGGTTTGTATATTCTGGACATTAATCTTTTGTCCCTTGCTTTGTTTGCACGTATTTTCTCCCGAGGGTTGTCTTTTCGTCTTGTTTATGGTTTCCTTTACTGTGCAAAACTTTTAAGTTTCATGAGGTCCCATTTGTTTATTTTTGTTTTTATTTTCATTAGTAGGTGGGTCAAAAAAGATCTTGCTGTGATCTATGTCAAAGAGTGTTCTTCCTGTGTTTTCTTCTGAGTTTTATAGTGTCCTGTCTTACATTTAGGTCTTACATCCATTTTGAGTTTATTTTTGTGTATGGTGTTAGGGAGTGTTCTGATTTCATTCGTTTACATGTAGCTGTCCAGTTTTCCCAGCACCACTTGTTGAAGAGACTGTCTTTTCTCCATTGTATATTCTTGTCTCCTTTGTCATAGATTAGGTGACCACAGGTGCATGGGTTTACCTCTGGGTTTTCTATCCTGTACCACTGATGTATAATTCTGTTTTTGTGCTGTGTATCACCTTTTTATAACCATATTACAGTTGCAAATTTTTGAGGCTATGATTATATCATAAATCAAGGTACATATGTTAAATATAAATATGTAAGTATATATAATGCGCATATAGTCTTTTATTTCCTTTCTGTCTACTCAGGTTCTTTAGTTAATGTGAACATAAGCCATTCAGAACAGGAAAAGTTAAACGATATTGAAGAAGTACCACCTGCAGTACAGCCAAGTCTCTGTAAACTTGTACATCCACAAATCTACACCGTGATTAGGATCATGCTTTGTTCCTACCTACAGGCAGAAGCACACTTACTCCTTGCCTTATTCTCTGATCCTTCCCCTGGATCTGTTGTGTCTTAACGGGATGATTTCGGATTGTTTGGGAGTCGCCCTCCAGGCAGAGTAACTTGATCTTACACAGCTGGTATCTTGCAGATGGTTACCGTGGGGTCACTGGGGTCTAGGGATTCATGAGCTGTGGCACAAATATCCTTCTGATAAGGCGTTGTGCTGTGCAGATGCGGAAGAGGGCAGCTGGCTGAGTTTTGTGCAGTTGATCTAGGATTTGGCTAGAAGGCAGCAGCCCCAAGAGGGACACAGCTTGCCAGGGTGAGGGAAAGTCAGGCTCACAGCCAGCTGCGGTACGCTGTCCACAAGCAAGTTCATGGACAGAGCAAGCAGAGGAAAAGGCAACAGCACCCCTGGGACAGGGGCTTCTGAGGGCTTGAAGAACAGCTGGGGTGAAAGGGTTGCTGAAGGTGCAGGAAAAGATGGGCATTAGCCACTGCACATGCTGTCTCAGGTCCAACCTTAGCCAAAATATTCCCATCTTATGCCCACATGTATTTAGAGCCTTTTTAGGAAAATATTCCCTCTGCTTTCAGCTCCTAATAAAAGTGCTGACATATAAAAACATTTTTATGAAATTAATAAAGGAATAACCGGGCTTCCCTGGTGGCGCAGTGGTTGAGAGTCTGCCTGCCGATGCAGGGGACACGGGTTCGTGCCCCGGTCCGGGAAGATCCCACATGCCGCGGAGCGGCTGGGCCCGTGAGCCATGGCCGCTGAGCCTGCGCATCCAGAGCCTGTGCTCCGCAACGAGAGAGGCCCCAACAGTGAGAGGCCCGTGTACAGAAAAAAGAACAATATGACTAATAAAGGAATAACCAAGTCTCCTCAGAAATAGATCGATGTAGGCTTGAATTAAGCTGTATGCCCTCTTTTTTTTAAAGGCAACTAGCCCCAGTACACATTTATGCATATGAAATCCCCAACATTCGACCATTTTTTCTCTATAAAACGACACTTTCATCCTTGAACAAAATAGGTTCGTTTATGACCAAGGAAAATGGGGACTGGCTTCGAAGTGACTTTAATGAGTTAAGAAAAGTGACAATGAAAAAACAAGAAAAGCAAAGAGGCAACTATCTGGTTTAGACCTACTGTATAGCACAGGGAACTCTACTCAATACTCTGTAATGACCTACATGGGGAAGGAATCTAATAAACAGTGGATACATGTATAGGAATAACAGATTCACTTTGCTGTACAGCAGAAACTAACACAACATTAAAAATCTACTCCAGTAAAAATTATTTTTTAAAAATGCAGAGGGGGTCATGGCACTATAGTATTTCACTGGCTAAACATCCCACACTTTATTTCTTCATTCTACTCTTTATGGACTTGTGTTGTTTTGATTTTTTAAAATTTTACTCTTACACACAGTATTTCTATGAACATTCGTATGTCATGCGTCCAAACGTACAAATGCAGGAAATTTTCTAATGTGCGTGTGTAGCATGCAGGTGATGACGGAGTATGAGGTTGGAAGTGAAATTTCATTTTCCTCTAACAGATATCAAATTGTGTCAACCAGCCTTTCCCCACTCCCATGAGTGCCACATCTATGATATACCAAATGTCATTTATGAATGAAAAAAAAATGCAGAGGGGGAAAAATCCTCTAATTTAAGGACATGCCGACGTTCCTCTGTAGTTCTACCATAAGACAACTTTTTAAGGGCTTGTGAAAGTGCAGCTAAGGTGAACCAAATGGGTTGTATGGTTATATTCTATGTAATAATGGTTTCAGTGTCTGCAAAGGTTTCCGTCGCTATAAAGGTCTATCTAATTCTCCTTACAGAAAATTCTTATAAGTAGTAAGGTATCGAGGTGTGTGTGCATGTTTCGGTGTATATATATCTAATGATTATATTTAATATGTATAAGTCATTCGTTCACCAGTTTAATAGCTGCTATTAACAGAGGCATTTGGCATTCAAAGACTTTTGTAAGAAAGGTATATATACAACCCAACTCATTTATAATTATCACTTTTTAGACACGTAATTTAAAGCACCAATTTTTAATAGCATTTAAAAATCAGTTTTAATATCACTGAATATTCAGAAAACGTGATACTGTATCATGTAACTATTTCTTGAGGGACACACCTTGCAAACTAGCTTGTCGGTATTAGCTGCAAAACCTTGACTCCTTGAGGGAAGGCTGTGTTTTTCCACTTTGTCTCACTACGTGCCCCAAGACATAGAGGAGTTCTGGGCTTCTGGTAGACAAAGAAAAAGTCATTTTTGAATGAAGGGAAGAAGAAAAGAATTGTGGGATCAGACGAGATACCAGCTCCCAAGGAAATGTCTCTGCCTGCATCATTTTCCCCGCCCCCTACTCGCCATGAAACACACTCCAGGAGACTGGAAGCACCAAAAACATCACTCTGAGAAAAAAAAAAAAATCTATTCTTTCTTGCTAAACTAACTTTTAAGCAAAACTCGATAGCAAGTTTAATACATTGCTTTTCACATTGTCAGTGATCCGTAAACATTTTTCCACTTCTCTTCTACAAGCTTTCACAAGTTTGCTTTTTTCACCATTTACTGACTGACTCCATAGTTTCCCACATCCATTCAAGTCTAAACGCTGTGAAAAAGTGGATCGTGCTTGCCCGATGCTCATACTGTACCTTTATGCTCCCTGGTACCCGTCCACTGATGTAGCCAGGGCTGACCCGTTAGTGATGGACCATAACCTCCATGGCACTGGAGTTAAGTGCTGTGGATAGAGCAAAGGTCTGTTAGATGTGGGTTCACGTCTCAAGAAGGCTGTGGGGTAGAGTGGATATAGCTCATAGAACTTATAGTTAATCGACTCTCTGGAACAAACGGTATCGAACGCACAAAGAAACACGGATCTTTGGTGAAAACAAAGCAAAACAACAGGAACCAGTGGAGGGTTGTCCTCCGTCATGGAAGAGTTTCAGATTGTTTCCCACTCGTACTGTAGTTGGGAACACACTGAGGGGACATCAACAGAATGGTTTGCAATTGTCTTTCAGGAGCAATCCCTCATTTCCAAGGGCTCTTTGGTTCCGGCATACTGTAAAACTCCTAGAGGAAAACGCAGGCAGGACACTGACATAAAACGTAGCAATATCTTTTTGGATCTGTCTCCTGAGGCTCAGAAAACAAAAGCAGAAATAAACAAATGGGACCTGATTAGACTTAAAAGCTTTTGCACAGCAAAGGAAACCATGGGCAAAACGCCAAGACAACCTACTGATTGGGAGAAAATATTTGCAAATGATACAATCGATAAGGGGTTAATTAATTAATATTAATAATATTAATTAATATCAATTAATATAAAATTAATTAATATCCAAAAATATACACAGCTCATACAATATAAAAAACAAGTTCAATTAAAAAGTGGACAGAAGACCTGAATATTTTTAAAAAGGAAATGGATATCCCTTCAGAAAGAGTTAAATCATAAGTGTGTGTGTGCGCGCGCACGTGCATGTGTTTTTATATACATATATATATACCTGCAACAACAGACTATGTATATGTACATATGTAAATGTATATGTGTCTACGTATAGTATGTTTTTACAGGTATCTATATGTGTGTTATATATGTGTTTGTATATATATGATGTCTTACTAGGAAAAGCTACATATTCTAATGTCAGTAAAATCATGTTTAATGCATAAACCAAAATTTTGAAAGTGTTCCTGTATGTGTCACTCATGGTAATGTAAATGAATCAGTTGCAATCACCTATAAAGACAGAAAGATAGTGATTTCACTTTAAAAATACTGATTAAATTCAGCCCTTAAGAATGCATAGATAAAATACATGATTCAGGAAGGTTAAAGGAAAACAAAGACCAGTTGTGGCCTGGAGCGAGGCAGATCAAAAGGAAGCAGAGGGAATTACATTAATACGATGCAAAACAGAAGTTACAGAAAACACAGTAAATAAAAATGTATCCCATTTAAACACATGCACCATTCAGAGTAAAGCTATTTATTGCTGTGAACCTTTGAGAAGGAAACTATTCATAAATGTAAGAATGATGGAAAGTCCTCTCTCAAAAGTTTAGTTTGTTTCAGTCAAATTAGCATGAAACAAACATGTTCATCAGACGCTCCACTCTCTTCCATAACTTACTAGTCGATTACAGCTTCTATAAGTGTGTGGCTTCTTTTCCGCTTCTATAAGTGTGTGGCTTCTTTTCCTTTCCTTTCCGTCTTAGTTTGAATGTAGTCGAATTAGTTTCAAGATGTACCATTTCCACCTTCATTCAGTTCCACTATTTTCTAATTTAAATAATCGTGCTGTCATGGTCCCACTGGTTACTGAGGAGAGAGGGGATTAACTTTCAAACTTTTGTGTAACTCGTCCTCCCATTTCTTTAGACTGGCTTTATAATTCGCGATGTGTTCATTTGCTGTTAAAGTTCTGTGGGACTCAGAGACGCATGTTGAGTCTCCGGTTTGGGGGCAGTCGTGTTCTACACATGCACCTTAGGAAATGTATTCATTGTGTGTTAGCTGTACTATACAAATACTCCGTATTTTCTCTTGATGTAGTCTGCTTAATGTACCAATTGCCACGAGCAGAAAGTTAACTGACTAAGGTTATGGATTGGTCGAGTTCTCATTGTTACGCCAAATGTGCTTCAAGTATTGATGCGCTGCTAACTTGGAGTATCTCCCTGGAGCAGTGAACTTCTTAGCAATACGTAGTTACCCTGTATTTTCTTTTAATTGAATTTGATTTATAATATTAGTTTCTGGAATACAGCAGAGTGATTCAGTTATATATATATATTTTTTTCAGATTATTTTCCATTGTAGGTTATTACAGGATTCTGAGTATAGTTCCCTGTGCTACACAGTAAATCCTTGTGTATCTATTTTATGTATAGTAGTTTGTATCTGTTAATCCCAAACACCTAATTTACCCCTTCCCCTTCGGTAACCATAATTTTGTTTTCTATGTCTACTGACCCTCTTTACGTGGAATAATCCTTTGTGACTTCTAGTTCATTTTCTCCAATATCAAGAGTTACATCCACCTACTCTTGAGTAGCAGATATGTGACATTTCTTTTTCCATCTAGTTGCTTCTTACATCTGTGTTCTCTGCAAACAGCATACGGATGCATTTTCTGATAACCCAATCCTCCAGTTGTCATCTTGGAATAGGAAAATTGATTTGATTAGCATTTGGTAGGATCTTGATGTATCTGTGCGCTTTCTACTCTCTGTCATCTTACACGGCTCCCCTTCCATAGCCATCCTCCTTTCTTTGATTCTTTGCAACTAGCCCTCCAGTTTTTCCTGTTACATTTCCAGAAGTTATATACCCTCTGTGCATGATTTTAATGATTTCTCTAGAGACTTTAATGCACATATTTAAGTCCTAAAGTAATATACATCATTCGTGTGTATCAACTCGAATCAAATCCCCAAGTGTTAGGCTGCTGCAGCCTTTCATGTGTATCATTATACAATCTAAACTTTGTTTAGATTTTTCCCCACGTTTGCTTCTTCCCCCCTCCCTCCGCATTCTCTGCATTTCTCTTTGAATATGTTCTTTCTTTAACGCATCCTTTATTGAATATGTTCTAATTATTTAATGCATCCTTTAGACTTCACTGAAGAAAGCAGTGTTACCGGCAGACCTCTCCTTTTTGTTGTCTAAGAATACCTTTACTTCCTGTTTGCCTTAAAAGGAGCTTCTCTGGACATACAATCCTAGGTTGACAGTTATTTTCATTCAGAGTTTTGAAGGTATGCATAATTCCAGTGGCTACTCGTTTCCACGAGAAGTCAGGAGACAGTCTAGTTTTTTTCTACTAAAGGTAGAAACGTGGCTCTTCCCTCTACAGCTCCTTTAACATCTGTGTTCTGTGTTCTTTGCTTCTTTGACGACAACATACCTTGCCTTGGATTTTTTTTTTTTTCATTTACACACTCAGATAGGTTGTGTCTCCATCCAGGCAATGGTGTCTTGCTTCTGTTCTTGAAATTTCTTAATCATTATGCGTTTGATACTACCTTCTTCCCAATCTCTCTATCATGTCTTTGTAAAACTCTAATTACATGTAGGCAGTGATTTCTCACCCCCTTTGTTCTATGTCTTTTAATGCCTCTTTCCTACTTTCCCTTTTTTGGGGGGGGTCTTTTTTGCAACGTTCTTTCTAATGTGCCCCAGTCTACCCTCTGACTTACTAATTTTCTCTTCATTTGCTGTTTAAGTCAATCGTTTTGCAAGTTGGCTGGCAAAATTGTGGATATAACTTGTTTCTTCATCATATTTCCCTTGCATATTTTATTTCTTCTAATATTTTACACGTACTTCTTTTTCATTTGGACTTTTAGGGGCCCGACTGCTTTTGCATTTGCAGACCTCTTTCTGTGGGTTGTTGTTTCTTTTGTTTCTGCTTCTCTCCTGGTGCCTCTTTTCCTTGGATGATTTTTTGGTTTTTGTTTGTTTTTGTGGGGATGTTTACATGAGTTGGTGTTCTGGCATTGTATTTATAAGAATTCTTTGAGGATCCATTTGAAGTGCATCCCTCTGAAGAAAATGTCAGTGTGTTTCTACCAAGCCTTTGGAGGTACATCCAGTTTAGAACTATTTTAAGCTATGGTTTCAATTTAGGATTTTCAGGCAAACAAATGGAATGAATTCTGGTGGCAAAGACACACAGGTAAAGGATTCTCTTGGACGTATCGGGGGGAGATTCTGGTTTTTTTCTCATTCATTAGTTCATTCATTCCTAGAGAACAAACTAGTGGTTACCAGCGGGGAGGGGCAAGATGGGGGAGGGGAGTAAGAGGTACAAACTATTATGTTTAGAATAAGCTACAAGGACGTATTGTACAACACTAAGAATATAACCCACATTTTACAATAACTATAAATGGAGTATAACCTTTAAAATCTGTGCATCACCATATTGGACACCTGTAACTGATGATTTGTAGAGCAACTATACCTCAATTTAAGTCAAAAAGAAGATTTCCCTTATACACTGTTCATTTTCTGCAAATGCACACTTCTTTGGGGGATCTTAGTGTTTGGCGCTTGTTTTTGAGTGCCTGCCTAACCTTCTTGGACCAGACGATGTTTTCCATCCCTTTCTCCTACTCCCTTATATGTGCTCGTGTACAAAGCAGCATTTACGTTACCAGGGTCAGCATGTGCCTATACGAAAGGGAAAATTCCCAGTTCCCAATTCCATTTCTTCTTTGGATTTTTGCTCCCTTTCATTTCTCTCATCTCTGAGGAATATACTCCTCTTTCCAGCTGCTCTGTGATGATTTATTTATTCGTTTAAAAAACTTCCCCGCAGTGTGTTGACTCTGAGGCTTTATGTAAAACAGACTTTCTGCCATGTTTGGGTGGCATGTGCTCTTTATACTCTGACTGTTTTGTCTGGCTTCGACATAGCTTTCTTGGTATTAAGTATCAGGAACGTAATCCTTTTTAATAGAAAGCATATTTTCTGTCAATTAACAATTTGGAAAGGGTAGGAAAGGAAATTAAACATTTTTGCTCAGTCCAACAGCATGATTGCTTTCATTTTATCTGTTGCAATGCACTATTCTTGCATCTCACATTAAGGAATGAAGTATGGGGACCTCCCTGGCGGGGCAGTAGTTAAGAATCCGCCTGCCAATGCAGGGGACACGGGTTAGATCCCTGGTTCGGGAAGATCCCACATGCCATGGAGCAGCTAAACTCATGCGCCACAACTACTGAAGCCCATGCTCCTAGAGCCCGTGCTCTGCAACAAGGGAAGCTACTGCAATGAGAAGCCCGTGTACTGCAAGGAAGAGCAGCCTCTGCTCGCCGCAACTGGAGAAAGCCTGCGTGCAGCAACGAAGACCTAATGCAGCCAAAAATAAACAAGTAAATAATTTTTTTTGCAGTATGTGGGCCTCTCACTGTTGTGGCCCCTCCCATTGCGGAGCACAGGCTCCGGACGCACAGGCTTAGCGGCCATGGCTCACGGGCCCAGCCGCTCCGCGGCATGTGGGATCTTGCCGGACCGGGGCCCGAACCCGCGTCCCCTGCATCAGCAGGTGGACTCTCAACCACTGCGCCACCAGGGAAGTCCAATAATTTTTTTAAAAAAAGAAGAAATAAAGTATGTCTAGGGATGTTTTCTTGCCTATTGTTGCTTCAGTTTGTTTCAAGTACAGGTCATGCTCTGCACCAGGAAAAATGCCTACCAGTTTCTTCTTTTACATCTTGTTGGCATACCCTTCTGCACTACTAAAATGTTAGGACTGATCATGGGATCTCATTTTAATTCATGAACCTTGCTAATGCCAGGATTACTCTCCAACACTGGGACAATATACATTTCCTCCTTGGACAGCAGATTCCAAGCTGAGGAAGGAACTTCAGGAACAGCTTTATGAACCCGTCTCTCTCTTTCTACCTCACCCCTCTCCCCACCTCTGTCCTGCCCTCTGTAATACGCATGTATAATCTTTTTTAAAATGTATGCATTTCAAACTGTTTATCGAGTTAAAATTTACATACTATGTTAATCACCCATTTAATGGGTCAATTCCATGGTTTTTTAATAGCTATCACCGTAATCCATTTATAGAATATTTTTGTTACCTTAAAAAAAAAAAAAAACCCACACTCCTTAGCAATCACCTCCCAACCCTAGGCAACCAGCAATCTACTTTCTGTCACTATAGACTTACCTATTCTGCACACATCATATAAATGGAATCATATATTATACTATGTGATCTTCTGTGCGGGGTTTATTTGACTTGACATCAGGTTATGCACGTCCTAGCACGCAACATGACTTCATGTCTGTTAAGTGTTGAATGGTATTTCATTGTATGCATAGACCATATTTTTTCTATGCATTTATCTGATGACGGACATTTGGGTTGTTTCCACTTTTTAAGCTGTGATGAATTAATGATGCTGTGAACATTCGTGGACAGATTTTTGTGTAGATGTGTCTTCCTTGCTTTTCTGTGTATACCTAGCAATGGATTTGTAGGGTCATAGGATCACTCTGTACTTACTGGAGGCACTGCCAGATTGTTTCCCAAGACAGACGTACCACTTTATGTTCTCACCAGCCATGGGCAACAGTTCCAATTTCCCTAAATCCTCTCCAACACTTGGTATTGTCTTCTTGACTGTAGAGTGTGTGTGTGTGTGTGTGAAGTAGTATCTCATTGTGGTTTTGTGTTTCCCTGATGGCTTACACATATCATCTTTTTAAAAATTAATTGTTATTGGAGCATAGTTGATTTACAATGTTGTGTTAGTTTCAGATGTACAGCAAAGTGAATCAGTTATACGTATACCCACTCTTTTTTAGATTCTTTTCCCATATAGGTCATTACAGAGTACTGAGTAGAGTTCCCTGTGCTCTACACTAGGTCTTTATTAGTTATCTATTTTATATATAGTTGTGTGTATATGTCAATCCCAATCTCCCCATGTATCCCTCCCCTGCCACCTACCCCCTGGTAACCATGAGTTTGTTTTCTACATCTGTGACTCTATTTCTGTTTTGTAAATAGGTTCATTTGTACCATTTTTTTAGATTCTATATATAAGCGATATGATATGATGTCTTTTTCTGACTTACCTCACTCAGTATAACAATCTCTCGGCCCATCCACGTCCCTGCAAGTGGCATTATTTTGTTCTTTTTACGGCTGAGTAATATTCCATTGTATATGTGTACCACACCTTCTTTAGCCATTCATGTGTTGATGGACATTTAGGTTGCTTCCATGTCTTTGCTACTGTAAATAGTGCTGCTGTGGACATTGGGGTACATGTATCCTTTTGAATTACGGTTTTCTCAGGGTATATGCCCAGGAGTGGGATTGCTGGGTTGTATGGTAGTTCTATTTTTAGGTTTTTAAGGAACCTCCATACTGTTCTACACAGTGGCTGCACCATTTTACAGTCCCACCAACAGTGTAGGAAGGTTCCATTTTCTCCACACCCTCTCCAGCATTTGTTATTTGTAGATTTTTTGATGATGGCCATTCTGACTGGTGTGGTAGCATTGTATTGGTAGTTTTGATTTGCATTTCTCTGATAATTAGTGGTCTTCTCTGGATATATGACCAGTAGTGGGATTGCTGGGTCCTATGGTAGTTCTAATTTTAGGTTTTTAAGGAACCTCCATACTGTTCTCCATAGTGGCTGCACCAATTTACATTCCCACCAACAGTGCAGGAGGGTTCCCTTTTCTTCACACCCTCTTATTGTTTGTAGACATTTTGATGATGGCCATTTTGACCCGTGTGAGGTGATACCTGATTGTAGTTTTGATTTGCATTTCTCTGATAATTAGTGATACTGAGCCTCTTTTCATGTGCTCTTGGCCATCTGTATGTCTTCTTTGGAGAAATGTCTATTTAGATCTTCTGCCAATTTCTTGGATTGGGTTGTGTTTTTTTGATACTGAGCTGCATGAGCTATTTATATATTTTGGAGATTAATCCCTTGTCAGTCGCTTTGTTTGGAAATATCGTCTCCCATTCTGTGGGCTGTCTTTTCATTCTGCTCAAGGTCATATATCATCTCGATGGGGAATAATCCAGACGTTTTAAAGCCTCTTCTCTATAAAGCTTCCTATGGTGCTTCCCCTACATTTTTATTTATTATTTGTTTAATTTCTATAAGTCTTGATTGAGGAAGCTTTTGGAAGACAGAATCCAACTCATTGTTTCCTTCTCAATTTTCAGTGGATTATAAAATCGTTGGTCAAATTTTCATGAAGATGGTCCTTGCATAAATACATATATTTTCAGTATATTGGAGAAAAATGAGAAATAAAAATGCATATTTTTCCTCACGAGAATATAATAAGTTGATGATGATGGTGGTGGTGGTGATGAGTTCTATTATTTCCATAGGTAACAAATATATTCATAGCCCTTCATATCTTCTATAAGGTAACTGGGGGGGGTTTTCTCCTCTTGTATCAAAGTTTATAGCAATAATTTACAATGTAGAACACTGAGTTTTCTGACCAGCACTTGTTCTTGTGTCTCTTTGTAATTTTCACGTCTATTTGATCACCCAAGCATGGGGATAACTGCCAATCACATTTCACTATGACCAGTGAGGAATGCAAGAAGGAACAGCTCACAGGCAAAATGTCTATTTTATTGCAATTTATTCTAAAATACAACACATTTTAATCTATGTTCTATCTTGATTAACAGACTCAGTATGCATTCTAAACTGTATTCTAAAGTAGAAAGTATTCAACTTCGCCAAAAATCGTTATACCATCCGCCACTGGGCGTGAAAACAAACTAAACCGTAAACACTTTTTATTTGATTCTCCTTGGAGGAGCAGTGCATAAACAGCTTCTCTGTGGATTAGATAAGGTAGCTGATGTACTGAATTTAGTTAAAATGTTACATTCCAGTGCATGTGTGACTTGAGATTAATCCTGTTCTTTTTCTACGGAGGGAAGTCCTGCCTTTTATTGGCTTAGAAACATCTGATAACCTTGGCCACAAGATCAGCTCATGGAATGGTAAGCAAGTTACTGAAATATGATTATCATTTCTATTTGTTTTTGCATGTAGGAGAGCCTTAGAACGTTCACAGGCTAATTCACAACTACATTCAAGTACGCTTTCAATGAAGCCTGCACATGTCAGACGTCCTCTAAACGTGTATTCCCCTAGGCCTTCCAATCGTCAGAATCCTTGAATATATTTTCCTTTCATAAAAACTCCCCCAAAGGCAAGGGAGAAGGATTAACCCACAACTGGGATATATGTTCTGATCTTTTAGTTACGTAGTTGTTGATTTTCACAAACAAACGTGATGCCAAGGAAATGTGCCCTTTTTCCTCATTTTAAACAAAACCGCCATGGCTTAATTTCAGATGTAAAGAAACATTTGGAGAGTTTAACGGAGACTGAAAAATTAACACATGGTGTTCCAGATTGCATTTCTTACCTGTGTTTTCGTTCTGTAGGTTGGAAAGAAAACAGCGTGGACTACTATTTATTTATCTTCTTAAGATATTTAGTCAGCAAAATACACATATAAATTTAACTTTTCAAATTCATCTCACCACCCACGATGAGGGTTTATTAAGAGAAACTCAACAGTTATATCCCACTAGAGGGAATTAGGCATTCTTCAAAAGGGCATGACTTTTTCCAGTTAGGTATTTAAGTGGTGGGTATGATTGTGGAAACCCAGAATCTCAAAATTTATAGTTATCATTACAGTAAGATTCTTAGAATAAACCAACTCCCTCATTTCTAACAGCTGGCAAAAGTTTTCAACAGAATGACCCAACTTGTTGCGAGAACTATTCTAAGGAGTCAAGTAATTTAACTTGATGGTTCAATGACAGAAATTGAAACTGTCTCTCAAATTCACGGGATACGTAGTAAAAAGTGCGGTGAGCCTTAGGAGAGATGCAATCAGGAAACTCATTTCATGTTCAGGATATTTTGAGTCATGGAGGTTATTGACACATAAGGCCCCTGTTCCTATTCTACACTGATTTTAAAAAACCTCTAATTAAATAGTAATAGGAAAAATGCTTTCAAAACGATCATTTCAATATATGTGAGAATCTCCACAAGGATACGAAATGAGAAGCTCTTGTTTAAAAAAACTGCTTTTTTTGGCCGAAAGTTTCCATGGATAACAAACATCTTTCTAGTGCGCTCCCATTCTTGGTTAATGGTTCTTTTCCCAGATGCAGAGTTTTCCTGCACCAGTCTCCCAAGATGATGGCGACAAGGATACGTCAAGAATGAAAAAGCTACACTCTATTATAAGAGCTCTATACATAACATATACCATTAGAATACGGAAGTATCAAGGATACACCATTTTCTGAAATCAGTTTCCATTTCTGATAAATAACTTATCCGTTAACCTAAACTAGGTATGTACGCATCTGTTGACCAACATTGGAACTTGTATCTCTTGCACATCAATGTCTTAGCTGATGCATGTTTGAGGAGAATGGAAACTCTGTTTTTGGATTCATCCAAAATTATCCTGGATCGCTCTTGTTTCTCCACCATCTCCATAAAAGGTGACCTTGTCTAGATATTCTGCCACGTCACGTCCACGTTCTAGCACCCACAAGAGGAAACGTCAGCTGGAAGAGATGAGTGACTTAAATTTGTACCCAGTGGTTTCCATCCACATCCCATAAGCTAGCACACAACTGTATAATGAAATGGCTTCTCTCCATCTGGCACTGTGTTTGCTTCTGTAGATGCTGTGATGACAAAAGAGCCAGAACTGACTGTTTACAGCAAGATTCGCTGTGGAGCTTTTAGCTATGCTAGACCTGTGCAAATATTAAAACATAGATGAGGAGATGGGATTAAGTATTTTGCAAACTGGTAGCAGTTTTCCTGTTTTTAAAAAATATTCTGGCATATGAGAATGTAGTTCTTTTTTATTCTAGGAGCCATCTAAGATAAAGTCTGCCCTCCCGACATACAAAAGTCTAATGTAGAAGAGGAATCAAGATGGCAGAATAGAAGGATGTGGAGCTCATCTCCTCCCGTAAGTACATCAAAAACACATCTACATGTGGAACAATTCTCACAGAATACCTACTGAATGCTGGCAGAAGATATCAGACACCGAATACTGCAAGAAAGATCTCCACGTAATCAGGTAGGACGAAATGCAAAATGAAAAAAAAAAAAAGCAATGGGGACAGGACATGAGCCCATGGGAGGGAGCTGAAATGAGAGTTGAGCCCCAGGGGCCATGACTTAGGAAGCAGGGCTGAAATCTGAGCCATCTCCCTGCTGCTATGCAATCCACAGATTTACGCTATCACTACCCTCTTTGGAAACGCAGCACCTGTGGGACATCTGAGCATGGAGAACTGCTCCCATGCCTGGGACAGGTTCAGCCTTAGCAGCTGTGGGCTTTGTGGGTTCACAGATGCAGAGGTAGGGCCAGGGTCTGGGATGCTTCATACCTCACATAGTGGGTCCAGGTGCGCAACTACTGCGGTCCTGGGACCTGACTTCAGTGGGTCTGCGCTGGTGGCTTTGTGAACACTGCGCCTGAGGGACACCATGGCTGATGGCATCCTCATGGTTGAGGCGGGGCTGAGG